GGGGGGGGGGGGGGAGCTAGCTTGAAGGATTGGGGTTTAATTGAATCCCCTTTATTAAAAATCATGCGTAAATAAGGCAATAACTTGTTTTTTGTTATATATAAGCTGTTGAATCCCTTAGACATAAGGAAAAGTTCTAGTAAAGTTTCAAAGGGGATTCAAAAATTGCTTTAGGTCATTAGTTCAAATTCCAGGGGTCACATTTTTGATAAATAAACTACTGGCTCTGCCACTACTCGTACACCCCAGAACACTGATTGATGCTTCACGCCGTGATTGTCCATTCAAGTTTTATACATATATGTTACCCCTAGTCAGTCAAATCATTTTTTCGACATCTTTGCTTTTGAATTTATAAATTTTTAATGTATTTTCTTTAATTAATTAATTTCTAAATACTTTTATGATATGAAAAATACACGGAACTTATGCCACGCCTTCCCTTGATGGTAGCACAAGGATATGTTTGTCTGTTTTTACCGTATATGTGATTTAAACAATTTTGTTTTCCTTCAAATAGATGGAAAGAAAAACCAGTTCATAAACTAGCCTCTTTTTTCTACAGGGAAGCTGTGGTAGTTTGTGTTAAGAATGTATCAGGGTTTGTATCTGTTGATAAGGACGGGAGATGGGTTTGTACTGGAGGCCATAAGACGGAGCGTCTCCCAGATCCTGTTAGTTGCAAATCCGTTCTTATTGCTTTTTTAGGTGTTACCGGATTTGACAATGCTAAACTACTTGATACTTGATTGATTACTCAACATGGAAAAACTTTTGTTCTCTATCATGGATTTTTCTATGATTTTTTGCTGGTCAAACATTACCTTAGATCTCATAGATTCTGTGAGAATCTTGCTTCTACACTTGCACGACTGCTTAGGCGGCCAACTCCAGCCATGTTCTTTTATATTGCGGGAAATTTTGAAGTGAATATTTCTAGGTGCCCATTCAGTAGTTAACTTTTTTAATAAGGCCCGTGCAATGATAATTATCTTTAGGTCCTTTATACATGCCGGTATTGCCTTCTTTTAGTTTTTACTAGTATTTACATGAGCTGTAGGATTTCTTCAGTGATGGTCTTCCTTAGAAGGGATGGTGCTATGTCATCTCGAGTTTATGCTTAAGGGCTTTAAGGTAAATCACTATCTAGAACTATCTGTTTCCTGTCTACATGGAGAATTTTCATGATTGTTGATCCACTCTCCCCGGAAGGATAGATGTCACTTGCTCAAGTTCCTCTGGGAGGAATGTTCTTCTGATACTGTTATCCCATACGAATCCCCTAGAAAAGTATCCTTGGTTCATCTTACAAAGTTTCAGCATTATCTACATAATTTTCTTTAGAGATTGCTTTGGAATCATGAATATACCCGTAAGACTATTACTGAGAAGATGAATTGCCACAGAGATGTTAAGCAGCATGACTTTTGCTGCTTGCTTGTTAGGAAAGTAAGGTCATCTATTTTTGAGGATATCTGTGAGATCAAGAGCTCACAAAGTTGTGAAGTGAGATTTTAATTTGCTTTGCATCATTTGTCTGATTTATAATATTCAGTTGAGAACAGTTCCATCAGATTCCACCTATTGCTTGGTTGATTGCTTGCATTAATTCTTTGCAAGTGCATACTGCATACAGCAACTACTACTACGCCTCAATCCCAAGCAAGTTGGGGCCAGTGATATGAATCCTAAATCTACGTCTTGTCAAGCAACTTGTCATCTTCTATTATTTATCATTGATCAGTGGAATTTGCTTCTTTACTGCTTATATCAAGATTTTAGTTTTGTGCCTTGTTATTATAAGTTTCTATATTTCAGGTAGCAGAAGCAAAACGATTAGTTCCTATTCTTGAATCCTACCTTGAACAAAGGGGCATTACCCTTCCTGAAGGATATTTGTCTTGCAAAGTCATATGTCCAAACCCCAATTTCCGGTATGCATTTTAATCATCTTCTGGTTATATATCATAGTAAATATTGGGTTTAAGCATGTATTCCACATAATTTCATCAAGCTATTCCTTCTAGACTTGGGGCTGGTTAACAGAAAACATAATGATGCTTTCTGCCAATGATTTTACTTGTTTCTAACCAACTCCTCTTTGAAGCTCGAGGAGCATCTTTTGGAAGCAAACTTTTGGAACTAATTAGAAATTAGATGATATGGATAATAACTCTTGAGATGTAGGATTTTAAAGGTTGAATTGAATGTATAGTTGTTCTGTTCCTAGGTGCTTAGCTCCATCCCTGCTCCATAGCTTAATATTACATTTTTTTAAACCAGGCTATAGCTTCCCGATCAATAGCTCGGTAAGGTAGCCACCTGCCCTAGTTCTAATGATTGATATAAAAGGTGGTAGAGCCTAGAGGGGCTGAGGGATGAAAAAGGTACATTACTAGCCGTCTTTAATCTGAATTGATAGAACTTGAGAAAATTAAATAAAATAAGTAAACAATTCACAATATACACTTGTCATGTAAAAAAAAAATGCACCAAATATAAACTATTGAAATTAACTTTCAAATCATTTATGCTATTCCAGTGTTATGTTTCTCCTGTGATCATTAGACTTGCATCTTGTGATTACTGTTAAAGCTTACTTCTATCTTGCAGTACCTTTGTGTCAGACTCTTTTCCCTCTGAGGTCATAACGTATGATCAATGGATTCAACTAAAACCAGAAACGAACATGCTCTCTGGTTGGATTAAAGGTGCATTTCTTGGTGGGAAGAAGGAAATGCAGGAATCAATACATGAGAAGCTTAATCTTGTACTCGGCACAGCTCCAATGTGGGACAGGTCTCTTACATTGCATTCATCTTTATGTTGTTTTATGATTCTAATGTTTTCAAGAATTGGAATGAAACAGTCAGTTTGCCGTTATCACCAAGAATGTTGACCTATCTAATAGAACTTCAAAATTCATATGATTAATGTTGGGGACCGTCCTTTTAACAATGAAAAAGAAGAAGTTAGGGGACTTGCGAAAAAGTGTTTTTGGTTTTTTACTAATTCAGTGTTAGATCTTCAATGGANGGGCTATTTGTGTAAAACCAGTGATTTGCACATATCCTTGCAGTTTAAACTGAAGTAAAGCCTTTCCAACTCTAAGATTTTACTCTTAATTATTGTGAATATCTGATAAATGCAGGTTAGAGCTTAAAGGTAATAAATTTGTTCTTGGAGAGTTTCTGGAGTTCAAAGGGGACAATGAAGATATTCAGGCACTGGGAAACATCAGGAGATCAAAAGTTAGTAAAGTAACAATCCAGAAAACAAGCATGTTAGGTGTCGGTAAGGAAAATAATAATTGTGGTAGTTAGCAAATGCATTCACCTGATCGTACTTGGAGATAACCTTGTGATAATTTCTTCGATTATTTTACATTCTATATTCCTTGAATCTAAGAAATCTTTTGTTGCTTTGGGAGTTGCAGCGAGTTCCAAGCTCCAAGTTCTCTACCGTCCTCGAGATTATCGTGGTGAAGGGGCATCAGCTTCTGACTGGAAAGAAGTCACTGTCCATTCCAGGACAGAGATTAAAATTCTACCAAAAGGTTCAACTAAACCACGCAAATACAAGTTATCCTCGGTTATTTCCCTGTCATTTAGTGCCTGATCTGTCCTCGTGAAGTATATGGGCATTTGATCGTTGAGATGGAAGTGGTGTAATAAAAATGTATAACTAGGCTGAACCTCATTTTACCTCCAGAATTACTAAGCTGATGTGCATATCCCTTCAGGCTTCAGGAGCAGCAATTCCGGGTCAATGTCATACAGATAGGGTTCTCTTAGCTCTTTCCTTCGTAAAACATTGCCGACATAGAGCACTAGTAATGAGTAGAAAACATATTAGTAAATTCTGGTATATGATAGAGCAAATTGTCTGTAATGTTTTAAAGATTTAACTTATATACATTGAAAGCAAAGTATTTTTACACTGGTAGTGCCATATTGTAGTAGGTATTTGTCTTATTTTCCGGATCACTAATCGAACTTCTTATAGATGGTTCCCTTTGTTATCTTTAGGTGACTTGATATTATAAATTTGTTTTATACTATTAATGGTGTATAGAAGTTAAACTCATGTTTTAAGTGCCATTTTTAGCCGTGGACTAATTAATATACCGAGTGAGGCATAATTTCTTCTCTGGTTGATACTTAGATTGTCCTTGTACGCAAAAGATGCGCAAGATCAGATTGAGTGATACTTTTAGCAACTTGGCGATGCCAAACTACAAAGAAGATATATTTCTATATATATACGGTCACAGTTATCTCGGATTGCGTTCTAGAAAATGCAGCCTACTAGGGTAAGTCATCGCCAAATCTAATAAGGGGCTTTGTAAAACTCCAATCTAGTATTCATATTTGAGGGGAGAATTGTACTTTTATTTGTGATTTATTTTTTTCAAATGAACAATTTGAAGACCTATTGCTTCTAACAACGATTGCAGAGTTTATCATTCAAACCTAGGCATGCGATCAAGTAATGTTAGTAGTAATTGCAGCTATATTATAAAAAGTGGCATTAGGGACAAAACATCAATTCTAATCAATTTCATTCTATAGTAATTTGCAAGCGAAAAGGTACTAGCTATTGTTACATATATCAAGGCTTGCCTCTATGCAAAATGCTTCTGTTGGTCATTTAACATTTCTGTCATGCTGTATATGCAACTTTGTTGTAAGTCCAATTTGTAACAAACTTATGATGAGGTCTTGAACCTCAAAAATCTATCTAAATTTTGAGGGAGCTCTTCTCGTCTCCTTGGGGCAAAACAATACTCCTCAATCTTCCTCAATTAGTTTAGTAAGAGCCATGCTTTATACACAGTAACGGCATCAATCAATAGACCTGGACATCTGATCCAGTTTCAAATTCCAGCATCAACTTGTTTAGTTTCTGGTTGCTAATCCTTTGCTCATAGACCATATCATCCTCCAAACTGCAGTTTATACACAAATGATAAATCCAAAAGGACAACGAACTCAAGTGTGGTTACTACAAATGAAGAAGATGATAGAATTACCTTTCTGTTTTTGATGAAGCTGAAGGAGGCAGAAGCATATTGGCTAGAGTTGTAGCATCTTTACTGGAGTTTATGACTCTGTTGAAGCATAAGTATCGTCCGTAAGAGGAAACATCCTCAAACACACACATATGAGCATCTACCAAGAACTTGAGATCCACTGCAACAAACACACCACCTTCATACATTTCAGCTGCTCCCTTCAAGTAAGGTTCTCTGATATTGAGATCTGGATGAATTAACAACCCTCCGTTTATGGAAACCATGCTTACTCCTCTGTCCATTGCCAATGCCCATGCTGCTTTCTCTGCTTGTGTCTTTGATAGCCCGTGCCATAACTGCCATACCAATTCATGTTAGACTTTGGTAGTGTTTGAGTAAGTTTATAAGCGGGTCAAACTAACTTATAAGCACTTTTTGACTTTTTTATGCGTATGGTGAACGCCAAAAGTACTGATAATAACGTCAAGTGTGTGCAAGCAAAATCAGCCAAAAGTCATAAGTCAAGCTTATAAGCTTTTTTTTTTTTGCCAAAATTTTTGCTATTTTATCCGTTATACTTGTTGCAACTTAAAACAAAACCCTTATCTCCCTCCCTATTCCATTTTCGTCATACGTCCTTTTTTTCAATTATCAGCTTCGGCACTTCTATTCACATATGTAATTGCTTATTTGTAAAATCAGTTTCATCATATAATGCTTACTCCCCTAGGCTCTTTCACAGCTTGTTGTTGCCAAATCGTGGAGGATTGAATAGGGAAATTACCTTGTATTTTTTGCAAAAGCTGATGTCGGTCCAATCTCTTTCGTCGACGCAAGAATGAGAATGGGGAGAGTCATGTTGGTCCCTCTTCCTTGTGCCCCATAACACAGCTGTGGCAGAGGATGTAAAGACTACCTTGTTTAGGGTATCTGTTTGTGCACAGGCTTCCATCACATTGTGAGCTGCTCTCACTTCCATTTCTCCCATCAATTCCTGCAACATAACACTTTTAGTTGGCACATTCACTTCAATGTAAAAAAAAAAAAAGCAGGAGAATGAAAGGAGTAAAATTGAGTAATGAGAAAATTCTTGTTCCAAATACAATGATGGAAAACAAGTACAGTAACAACAACAACAACAGACCCACTATATTCCCACAGGTGGGGTCTGGGGAGGGTAGTCAGGGGCGGCCTCACCCTAAAGCAAGTGAGGCCCCAAAAATTTAAGGACCCCAAAATTACTATTTATCTATATATAATAGTATATTATTTATATAATTATCTCTTATTATTGATAAATTTATTTCTTTATTATCATATTAATTTTTAATAACTCGATTTCTTCCTCTAATTAATATAACTAAAATAGTTTTCTGTCAATCTTATTTTACTTTTTTACTTAATTATA